TCTGGTGTGTTCATCTCTGGTGGCCCCTTAAGATGTCTGTTTTGAAGGCTCCCTACAATATTTCATGGCCAAGCAATCCGATACCCTATATAATGAAACGGACCCTTCCCAAAAATGAGCTTCCCTGGAAAAAGAAACACATGTGTCATTGGGGGGGGGAGGCAGCTTCCGAGCAGCTTAATGTTGGGGGCTTGGGGCCTTGGGCAACAAATACCTGTTTCTCGGTAGTTTAACTCTTAGTGGTTTTGTGGAACATTAGCTGGCAAAAAGTTAAAGTCCTAAATGCACCAGAGTGGAACTAGGGTTACTTTGTTTGGGGTCGGGCCTGGTTCAGCAGCATGTTCCCCAGAAATCGGGAGCGCAGCCCGCGCTGGAACTATCAACCCGTCCAACTTGTTCACGGCAGCTGCAGCTACGGCTCCAAAGGAACAGGGCGCGGCGCCTTGTCCGGTCCAATTGGTTAGCGCCCTCAAATGTTTGTTCTACAAAACTAGGGACCCCTCCAGTTGTTTCCTTTGGTTGCCCTCCAAATACCCACCCACCAAGTTGTCCACCATTTTGGCAAACTCCCCAATGGCCTCACAAATTGCTCCAAAACAGGCTGGTGGCATTTCGCCCGCTGCTCACCTACTCAAGCAAGAACGCCCCCATGCCACCTCTGGGGCAGATTCTATTCCAATGATCCTTATGTCTAATGTTGACCCCATATTAATCAACCCCAGTTTGTTAATAGTGGGTGGTTTTGGCCCCTCCAAAAGTGATGATTCCCAGCTAAATTCAGGGACACCGCCCATATTAATAAACTGGGGTTGCTTAATATGGGATCAACATTAAGCCTAGCTGACGCTCAGGAACCGTATGGGCCATCAAGGCCTGTCACTGGCACTCACCTCTGGAATATGTGTCTTTGAACTTGTTTCATTGGGTTGGCTAGCTCTGCTTCCCTCTTTTTCGCGCGCGACGATATCGAACATGGAACTTACGACGGGAATGATATGCACGATATATAGAACCGCCATTCTATCCTGCCATTCGCATCTTCCCTTGCACAGGGAGTGTCTCACAATTACACATTGGACCGGAACATGTCCCAACATGGTCAGTTGAAATTGTGGCCATCGGATCGCTTCCTGGCTTCCCACCTCACTTCACCTTGCTTTAGGTGCCTGCCCCCGCCCAATTCCCCCGATGCCTCCAGTCCAAAACTACTCTGTGTGTAACTCCTCTTCACCTCCCAGCTCCCCTGCTAGACCCCAAAAGTGTTAGAAAGCAGAACAAAATCGAACTCTTCAAAACAACTGTTGGAATCCTCCGTGAATCCTGGATCCGCCGGTCTACGGTAGTATTGTCGCACTCTTCAAGCAGGCAAGTATGTTCACACTTTCGACCTTGCTGATCTAGGCATGGTATGCATGCTGAGCTTGCCACTGCCTCCCTCGCACTAACATGGAAGCTCGCAAAAAGTCCGCTTAGAACTTTGGCCGCCGCCCAAAGACCTCCGATTGTGTGCCATGATGGATGTTGAGAGGGTACACGTCCACTCCCACCCATCCGATTCTTCAAGCGTCTTTGGCAGCGTCCTTGTCAGGGTTGGGCGGTTCGAATACTGTGTGAGGGTTGAAACCACAAAAATGTTAAAACAATCTCCTTTTGGCCTTCCTTCCGCAATTTCCAGGGTCTGTGTAGGGGCTTCCTTGAAAAGAGAAAGCAAGAGTTTGGCAGCGCAACCGGCGCTAAATATTAGAGTGGAATTGCCGGCTCTCAAACCAAGCTACCTCATGGCGAAATGATGTTGGTAAAACAATACAAGTTTCAAAGAGGAAAACTAGAAAACCATGTAAAACCAGAGTCTGGGTGTTCAAACCCATTGGGTTCTCAAATGGGGCCCTCAACAATGGCTGTGGTCCTTTTTGGTTCCCCTCAAAAATCCACCCAACAAATAGCAACACACACACATTTATTGGAGGCGCCCTTTTTGAGGGCATCCCTTTTTGGTGTGTGTGTGTGTGTGTGTGGGTGTGTGTGTGTGTCAGTGCTTTGACAGTACGGAAAGATCGCATGACGACGTCCGACATACCAAAATGCCGGCATGACGAGCATGGAACACTTGACGTGCCTTTCTGGAAAATCACTTTAAACAAGCGGAGAAAACAAAAAGTCTTGGAAAAAACAGATAAAGCGGTCTTAGGGCCATAACTAAACATTGACCAACAAGGGGAAACTGAAAGCTCAAAAAGGTTGCTTTGGTTTGGGCAAGTGAGTTCAACAGCACACCCTTTGTTTTGAGGGTACCCTTCTTGAATTTGTGGCTGCAAAGGCAAACCAAAAGGAAAATCACGTAAAACAACCTTCTTCTTATTCTTATTATTATTATTCTTCTTCATTTTTTTGGGGGGGGGGTCCTAAAGAAAAGCGAGGCGCCCCGCGCAGTTTGGTGCTTTCCCCGGTCCTTGTCCCTCGTCCCGTTCTCCTGGCTCGTGGAAATCAGCGCCGAAGAGGGCCAGAGGCCGTGGCCCGCCCGCAGCAGCCGGCTGGCCGCCTTGGCGAGCTCTGCCTGCGGCACCAGCAGCACCTCCTAGGAACGAGGCTTGGCCAAAGTTAGGCACGCAGAGCATGCATCTTGAAACTCCTCTTCCTCTCAACAACTATTTGCGGAAATGACTTGACCCCTTAAATTGGGGCCATGTAAAGATTCAAACGCGTTGCAAGGAGCAAAGAAGCAACCATGGAAAGGAGCTTTTTGCCTCTCGACTTATCTTAGGAGGTGTGCTTTTTGTTCAGAGCAGCTTTCTAAACCCCAACCCCAAAATGAACCTGAAAAGTCCCTTAAAGGAAGCCACAAGGGATGGTTTTTTGGAACCATGGAAAGGCTCTTTCTGGGGTTACATGTAATACCCTCCCACCAGCTAACATGGAAGTGCACAAGAGAAAAGTTGTCTTTCAGGGCTTTGTGAGCTTCCATGTTAGTCCGTGGGAGGGTACATTCTCCGAGTCCAAAGAAGCAAAGAGGCAACCATGGAAAGGCTCTTTTCGCCCCTCGACTTATCTGAGGAGGTCTTTCCAAAACCAAACCCCAAAATGGGCTGTGTCCCTTTGGTTTCCCTTAAACACCAACAAACACTCGCTGGTGCGATAGGTAGGGAATGACAACGAGTCCGGATGTTGGGAATGAACCTGAGGATCCCCTTGAAGGAAGCAACAAGGGATGGTTTTTTCTGGGGGTCATTCCATAAAAAATTCCCGGCTGAGAACCAGCAAGCAAAGGGTACGCATAAAATGCAATACCCTGCGACCAACCAAAATGGAAGTGCAGCAAGCCCCTTTCCAAGAGGAAAGTTGTCTTACGGGGGCATGTGACATTCTAGTTGGGGGGAGGGTATATTGTCTGACTCTGTTTCACACTTTTGGAAAAATAGATGGCCCTGGAAAATGGAATCAAACAAATCTAAACCGGTGGCATCAATTGTTTTCCAAACTAACCTAAAAAGACACCTATGGTCGTATGTCCTGATTCTGTTTCACATGTCTATCCTGAAAAATGAAGTTTTGAGGGAGACCCCAGTGGATCAAGTTTCAGATCGAGTTTGGGCGGATCCAAATTGGGGCAAGTTAACTTGTATACACTCTAGGGACCTACCTCAAAAGTTGATTCAGTGCATCATCGAATTCTGATGTCCAAAGGGCCCCTACTCTCCTGCGAAATTACATGGAACCATGCCATGCTAATTTGCAGGAGGCTAGCTGGAGCAGCTCAAACATCATGCTGCACCCAAGCGAAATGCATGGAGAAGTAAGAGGCTCCCTCCATGATTCTGTGAACCCCTTTCTGTGCCATGGGCCCCTGTGATACCAAAGTAGCGGGAAGCACCCCCCAAAGTGATACTCCAAGCCTGCCGAGGGTCCAGGCTTTGCCAGCGGGCTGTAGGACATAACATCTCTATCACTTTGTCACTTCAATCTTCCCTCACTGAAAGTTGCCCCCCCAAAGCCCGTCCACAATGCCCTTGGCACGGGCCAGCCATAAGAGAAGTGCCACGCCAAGTAAAGACTCATCATCAAACCCCATCAACCTCCCTTTTCCGCGATTACAGTAACCTGACTGACTCTCTGAGAACCGAGTTCTCGGAGTGAGGAGAGCCAGCAAGTTACCAAGCCAAACACACAGACCCAACCATGTTTGGAGCACTTGAAAGGAAGTTGCCTTTGCAGGCACACGTTCCTCCCCCCTTTTCTCAACAAGTGCCGCCAACACACGGATGGCAAAAAAATATCGCCCCTGAGTCTCCATCACACAACCCCCGCCCACTCCCTTGAAACCCGTTCCTTCCTCCCTCCCCCTCTTGCCCCCTGCCCCTCCGAGAGCCATCCACTCATTGCCATAGGTGTCCTTTTGGGGGAAATAGATGGCCCTGGTAGATGAGTAAACCATCTGGTAAACCAGGAATCGCCATCTATTCTTTGGCTAAAACAACCAAAAAGGACGCTTATGGTCGTTGCTCCCCCCCTTCCTTGCCCTCCGCCCCTCCACAAACCCCCTCTGCTCCCACTACCCCACTCCACTCTCTTGCGCTCCCAGGCGCCGCGCCCACCGAGATCACCTGCGCCAGGCCCTTCAGCGCCAAAAGCGGCGCCACGACGCCGCCGCTGCGCGCAGCCTTCGCCGCGCTCACCGTGGCCGTGGCCCGCAGGGCGCGCCAGGCCCCGGGCCTCGGGTCCGCGCCCTCCGCCTTGGCCCGCGCCTCGGACTGGGACTGGGAGGAGGAAGGGAGGGAGGAGGGGAGGGGGAGGGGACTTGGCAAGGGATTTAAAGCAATCCTCTTTAGGTCAAAAATGGGAATTGTCTATTCCTTGCTAGTTTTGTTGGCATCGAAGAGTTGGAAGGTTCACTTCCATATTCCCCACCAAGAACAAACAAGAGATCCCCCCGCAAACATGGAAGTGGACAGGTTGCTTTTGAAGAAGACAATATGCTTCCAAGTGGGGTCTCCGCAGTTCAATGTGTATTGGTGGAAGGGTGACAGGGTTGGCTGCCAACAAAAAATGCCGCCGCCAGCCAGCAGTCCGTCAGGTTTTAACAGGCTTTGGCCCCAGCCGTCAATCCCGAAATCATCTGCCCGCAATCCAAGATATACTCCAAAGTAAAATCCCAAAAGTCAGCCTCCCAATGCCGATTTGAGAACACCACCACCACCACCACCACCACCACCACCACCACCACCAAAAAAAAGAGATGTGATTCCCCCCCCAAAAAAAAGAAAAACAACAGTGGCTTAAGGGACCCGAAGAAATGTCCCATCACTCTGTGGGAATGAACCTAGGGGTCCAAAAGGAAACCGGTTCACACCTCGTGGGCTTATTTCAAGCCTTGCCTGCCGATGCCCAAGGACCTTTCCAGAAGCGACATGTCGCAGGGGAACTGGTTTTTTATTGGGTAGGATAAGCAAATATTTGTGGTTTTTATTGTAGGAACTGGCTTTTATTGCTGTTGTTTTTTGTGGTTTTTATTGTAGGATATTGGCTTACTTTGACCTCGGGCCGGCTGAGCAAAGACACCCAACACTTGTTCCGCCTGCTCGCATCTCCTCACAAAGAGGGTGTCCTCAAGCCCCAAAGAGGAATGCCTCGATGAACATGCGCTGAACTATGAATGTGTGTTTTCTTGGGGCTGCATTCCCTACCTTCCTGGCGGAATTTTCCGGAATGCGCGACCCTCTTCGAGGGGCCAAATCCCCCAGCACCTTTTGCGGCACCCAGGCGGTCGCCGCGCCGGGCTCCTGCGCAGCTTGAGCCTTGAACCCCTGTCCCCCTCTTCAACCGCCCCTGGCCTTCATCTAGGTCCTCCAATAGGTTAGACGAAGGGTACCCTTTTTTCTAGGGGAACCCTCCCCAAAAAAAGGATAAAAGGGCACTACTGGGGGACCTAGAAGACATGCCTCACATGCGAGCCCATGATCTTGCGTGAGCAACCTTACTGGTCAACAGCTGCAGCCGTTAAAAAGGGCGCAGCTGCAAAATTGAGTCATGCAACGAACATCCCTGCCACTGTCGACTAGTTGGGCGGGCAGGGATCATCTTACGTACTTTCCCAGGACCAATACGCACTTGTCAGGTGAGAAGGCCCCCGACTCAACATAACGCCTTTGAGCCTGCTCCACATGTGAGTGAACCTTGCAATGTCACTTGGGATGGCTGTGGGTCAAAAATGTGTGCCCAAAATGGAACCCTGATAAATGAATCCAAAGACTAAAACCCTGCGGTTTTTTGGTGGGTTTATTTTGACCCACACCCAGTTCACAAGAGACTTTCCAGGGACAATTCACGGCCAAAAATCACCTCCCCCATCTGAATCAACTGAAGGTCTCCTGCACCACGGTGCACACGTCCCCATTGCGCGCTGCCTGTCGCACGCACTCGGGCACGCCACGGCTCAACCTGGGCAGGCCCCGACCCAACAAGTAGCCCTGCTCTGAATTCCAGGTATACATTGGCCATTCTTTGCCTATGTGCCCTTGGTTTTCTCATGGTATGCCTGTATGGACCGGTATGCACAGTCACCACCAGGGGTCTTGTGTTTGAGACCGCAAATCACGTGACAAAATGTCCAGGCATTGGAGAACTGAGGAAACCTGATGCTACCCAAGAAAAGTAGAGAGGAAACAATCAGTGTCACCAAACCCCAGGGCCATCAAAGGAAGGGTTTGGGATGCTTCCAATTTTACGGGGCGGCATGAGCACATTGATTCGGCGGAACCGAAACAGTTCCCAGAGCTGGTGAATCGTGAATGTGAGCTTGCGAACAGGGCAGGGGACAGCCTCATAAAGCAATGACTCCAAATGCCATGGATCTAACTTGCAAATCGTAGGCTGGTCCTCAATTGCGAGGGTGTTGAGACACTGGCTTAAGCCATGTCACTGACATTGGCCCTGCCTTGTCCAAGCGCACAGCACCTCTTTCTTTTCTGTTTTCACAGGTTGCGTTCAAAGGCGTTGCCCCCAGGCGATGTTCGAAGGACTTTGTTAGCTTCCCCAACGAATGAAAGTTTGACCCTTGCTCACTTCTATTGAAACCATGCGAACAGCCGCGGACAAACCGAGTTGCCCCTGTCTCCGCTCCATCCCCACCTTGTTTCCGCCATGTTTTGTTCTACGCAGCTGGGGTGCGTCCGTTTTTGGGGCAGTTGCCAACCAACCTCTCCACTGGCGCATCATGGCCTTCCAGTCCCCACCCCCCACCGGAATCCCCGGATTTCGAGCTGATTCTGCGAACTCCCGTAACCAGACCCACCCGTGCAACCCGTGCAACCCGTGGCCCCAAGGGGTCGACACGCCTGGCCTGAGCAGCGCCAGAGGCTCAGGCAGGATCTCCAGCAACGCCGGGCCCTCGGCCGGGACCTCCTCCAGGCCCTGAGTGGAAGCCCGTGGAAAACACACGGGGAACCCGTGGAAACCCGTGAAAAACCCGGCGAGAAACCTGGTTTCTTGTGGGAATGCAAGGGGTGCAGCCGTCAAAAGCACACGGGGCCCATGGGGAAAAATCCTTTGGGTTCCCTCCTAACATGACCAATCTGGGAGGGGGGAAGATCGATTTCATGACGCAGGAGTTACGTCTTTATTTTGCTTTTTGCTGATTTTTTTTGGGGGGGTAGCTCCCAGGTTCTGGGGTGGGATGAGTCCTCCTTTGGAGGCTCGGAGCAACCCTGAGCCATGTCCGACAACGACTATCGCAAATGATAGCCAACTTGGGGGATGCGCATGCTCGCTCTTCGAGAGAACTTGAGAGAAAAGAGGACCAAGGCTATACCATGGAGAAGCTCGGGCGAAAGCAAGGCGGCGTGGTCACTTCTGCGCGTGCGCTGGTATTAACTGTGCATTTCTTGTTTTAGCAAAACGTCACAACTCATAGCATCCATAGCTGGGGAAGCCAATTGGAGCTGTGCTCCAAAGTTAGCGGCATCAGGCATCAGTGAGAACACCTTCTGCCGGAAGCTGCTGCACACTGCAAACGTGCTGAAGACACCAAGCCATAGGCCGCTCACCCCACCAAAGGGACAGTCACGCTGGTTGGTGGTGCGTGCTCAAGTCTTGGTGGCTGTTGCCAGACCGCAGAAAGTGACAAACCTTTTTGTGGGCTGGGGGAAGCACCTGCTACCAAAAGATCCAAAGGTTTCCGCAGAGGGTCGGGATGCTTGAAAAGAACCCGCTGGGTTCTTTTCAGTTCGGACGGTGAGCTGCTTTATGCGGAATGGGGGGGAACCTCCCGCTCAAGCTCCCAAGGGCTCTTAGATGCATGAAGAGGTTGGTCCACGAAGCCCGGATGAAAGGCAGGATCCCGTTCAAACAGGAGGTTCCACCAACATGTTGCCCTGGACTCATGCAAACCAGTACGTATCAAGCTTGGGCGGTTTGTGCCTCAAACGAGTGATGGCGCAGTGACTATCCCAAGGTCTCATGCACCTTCCGCAACTGACAATGCTTGTTCTCAGTGAAACTGGTAGAACCCCCCCCCCCCCTCCCAATAAGCTGAAGAACATGACACCACTAATCCACGTTTTTTGGGCTGAGCTAGCCATCTCAGGTGGGGTTCCAGCGAATAAATCTCGAGCGCTGCGAGGCCTGCTGCGCCAACTCCACGTGCAAGGCCCAGGCATCCGGCGCCGGCATGGTGAGGGAAACTCGCTGGGTCCAAGTTCCTTGCTGTGGAGGAGGTCTTCAAGCCACCCATTTTAGCTCAAGACATTTTGCGAATGTCTTCCACTGTGTAGCTACCTCGCTGCCCTCAAACTGCCTACATCTGGAGGAGGTCTGGATATGTGGCTCCCGGGTGTTTTCCGTGCCAGGCGCAGGAAGACATGCGCAGTGGTTGTTGACTCACCCACCTCAGGGACACCCAAAAACCACATCGCCCGAAGCAACTTGCGAAATCCTTGTGGGCGCAAAGGCTGAGGCTTCGAAGGCCTGGGGTTCTCGACCAAAAGGTCCGGGGGTGACCGCCGACTTGAGCCCAAAGCGGGTGCGCAGAGTTGCGGCCGGGTTTAGCGAGTTTATACGGTGGTAGCCCTGGTGGATGTTGGCCGGGGAGAATCCCCTCCCAAAATTCATCACTTGAGGGGACCCCTAGTAATGGAAAGGATTTTACTTGGCTCCGGGGTCAAGATTGCCTTTGCATGGAACCTGACATGGGAAGGCCATCTGTCCCACTCCTATACCGCATGCATCGGGCTACCCAGGCTTCGGCCAAACTCTTGAGATGTGCAAACATGCCACCGACTCGCGCAAAAGAGCCCAGAACCGGTGGCACTCGGAGGATTTCGGGCAGTGCTCCCAAGTCAAGCCCGCAAAGGGTACCAAGCCGGTCAAAATTCCCAGCAACTGCGCCAAGCGTTGACCACTTAGAGTACTGAAGCCACCTGCGCGCCAGTGAAAGCTCACATGGTCCATGCCTACGATCCAGAGACCCGGAGCACGGTCAAACCTGACCTTCCCTTGACCCAAGGCCGGCGACCTCTTCGAGTCGAGCGAAAGGCATCCAGTTGGGTGAGACCGGCCGCCGCCTACGCGGAGGCACCTTCGAATTAGATACACAGCTTGAGTCGGGCTCGGTTGCCTTCTCGGCTCAGGGCAAGCCTTGCGAGAGCGGAGCCTAGGGCAAAAAAGCCCAAACAAGTTGCCCAATCTTCCGTCAGGAGGAGAGAGGGAGAAAAAAAACATTCCATAGGGACCCGCGATTGATTTGCAGCTCGGTCCGGAAGGCAGCTCTCGCCGAGCAAAACGACGCGAAAGGCCCAAGCCCAACTCAACCTTCCGCCTGCACACGGCATGCCCATTTGGCACGGAAAATGGCGCGCGCGGCACTCCAAAGAGAGTGCCAAGTAGGGCATCAAGCTCGCGCGGCCATCTGCCTCCACCCTCAGTTCAAAGGAAGATGGCAGATTCCCCGCACCCAACAAGCGGTCCGGAAGCACAAAAGAAACACATTCCCTCTTGGGCTAATCTGTGCAAGTGCAATTGGAAGAAGTATCTACAAATCCAGCTGCCACTCAGGAAACATGTGAGAGATGCAACTCATAGACCTCCATGTGCTTACGCCCCCTGGGAAAAAGTAGACTATATCCGATAGTGATAGGTTCCCTTTAAACCCAACAGGGGAACGTAGTCTTAAGCAAATGGAAGTAGACATTCTTCCTGGGGCATCTCGGTGCAAGCTTTGACTCCTAGGGCGTACTTTGACGACCAACCCCGTCTCTTCGCAACCCGTTCACAACTGAAAGTTGCAGCTCGCCGCACATGAAGAAAAGTAAGGGCAAGCCGCTCGTCCCTTCTTTTGGCTGGCCAATACGCTTGCCTCTCTGTAGCCTCCCCTGCCGACAAGCACGACTTTCTCAAGAGGAAGGTAGCCCAACCAAAACCAACATGTGCATGTCCACGTTTTGTTGGCGAAAGGGCACCCTTAGCCAACAAGTTTAAATGTCCGCTCGACTTTGATCTCCGAAGCCCACAAAGGAGTGAAGGACACACCGATCTAACTCCAACCCCTCGCCAAAGAACAGCTCCCAGCGAGTGAGCAACCAAAAGAAGCCCCCCCCCCCCCCTTCCGCAAGCTGCGTCACCTTGAGCCATCCCAGAAGTGCTCGCTCCGAATTAGTTTGAGCTATTGAAACCAAGCAAAAGAAAAACCTGTGCAGCAAGCTCTCTGACACAAAGCTTTGCGCGCAGATCAGATGCCCCCCCCCCCCTTCCCGTCAAAGAGTCGCTCCGCTTCTTGGACGTCAACCAATAGCCTTCCAACATACCTTTCCAGCATAGGTTTGGATTCCCTGAATCCCGGGGCAGACTCTTTGACTCAAAGAGCATTGGGGGGGCTGAACAGATTTCATCAAGCTGTCTGAGAAAGAAGGGCCCACCTGAAAAGCTTTGACGGAAGCAACCAATGGTCCGTTCCCAATGCACTGATTCCAATGATGAATGCCGCTGAGCCCATTCGTGTGATCCCTTCTGTGCGAGTTCGTGATTTTAGCCTCTAAAAGTCTTGCACCGGAGCTTCTCATATACCATGCTTCACCTTCTGCCAAATTCTAGGTCCTCCAGTAGAGAGGTTAGCAGGGTACCCTTTTTCCTGTAGTTTTAGTAGGGGAGCCTCCCAACCAAAAAGGTTGGCCATTTTGGGCACCTCGCTGGACCCGGAAGTTGTTCTGAGTTGCTACACGATCGACCAAACCAAATCCATCTTGCAGGCCGGGCGCGTCTCCGGGCGGCTTCGTTCCTCTCAAGGCCCCTGGGCACCCCCCGACTGGCCCGTGTGCATCGCCGCGTAGGAGGTGGCCGCATCGGAGGACATGTGCGGCAGGTGGAACATGCCGTGGGGATGATCTTGGGTGTCCTTTGCCAGCAGGTTCCTCGGAAGCCGCAGCCAACTCCCATGTCAGCAAGTCGGAGCCGAAAAGGCTGTCCGCTTTGCTTTTTTTTTGACCGAATCGGTGGTTTGGTGGTGAAATGGAAGGGCAGGGCTTCAAATCCAAATCCAAACCAATCCAAAGCAACAACTAAGGGGTACCTCACTATGGGTGACGCCCTTCTCTTTACGGCTGCCTTGCGAGGACATCCATACAAAGAAAAAACGTTAAGACGACGCGACTGAAAAGCCCCATTTTGTTGCGGCTGTGTCCTTCAAGAAGACGGCCGAAAGCAAGAGGGTCGAGTCCAAATCAGAAAGGACATGGGGCTAAAAACGAGTCCAATGGTATTTTTGGTTTGGGCTTCGGTGAGGCAGCCTGCCATGTCCCCAAAATATGCCACTGGCCTACCGGATCTGAAGAAACCAAACCTCACATGAACACAGAGAGCGCACGCCTGACCAAGGAACCTGGTCAAATCCCTCAGGCAGGCGAGTTCAGGTGTGCAAGAAACCTGAGGCTCAGGAGACTGACCAGCTTAATTTGTCGGCGGTTTTGGGTGGTATGGCTTGGAGGTGGCTCCAAGTTGGCTCCAGAAGGCAACCGCCAATCCAAGGAGGCTTTGTTGATTTGCCCTGCAACCCCCAAACTAGCCTCAAAGGCTCCCCCCCACCAAGAGCAAGCCAGCATGGGGATTGCAGGTTTGTTAAACATGTCCTTGCAAAAAAAACATGTTTACACTAGCATTTCCTCAATGCCGCCCCTCTTTTCAAAACCATCCCCCCCATCCCCCCCCTCCCTCCCCCACCCCCCACCCCAAACCATGCCCCGCCCCCCCCTCCCTCCCCCACCTACCCCTCCAAACCACCCAAAGGTCCCTCCGAGGCGCTGGAGCGCCTGCGATTGCTCCGGGTCCTGCCGGAAGAAGGCCCAGTTGCTCGGAGCCGTGCGCCTCACGCATCCCACGATCGTACCGGACTTTTGGAGGTTTCCAGGAAACAGCTTCAGCAGTCCCGGTGCGTGGAGGGATCGCTCCTGATGTTCACCCCGGATTTAAATAAACCCCTGGTTGGTTTTGATTGGGTGTCCCCTTCCAGTGGGGATTCAGATCACTTTTGGAGAGGCCAAAATCACCCCCATATGAATCAACAGGGGTTTGGTGTCCCCTTTTAGTGGGGATTCAGACCACTTTTGGAGGGAACACCTCCTAATAATTGGTCGGGTTTAATCCTGGGTCAACATTACTTTCATGGCACGGCGAAGTCTTCCACTGTCCGAGCATCGCACTACTCCATACCATCTGCCTCCAACGATCGCAAATGAAAAACACCGGGGCGGCGGCGCCGCGCTTTTGCTGGCCAACGAAAGCCGCCTGCCCTGTTCCAAAATTTGATGGAAATATGGGTATGGGTTAAAATTAAACTACTAGAGGGCTGCAGATGTGGGCTCCATTTTGGGTACCTATGTTTCACCCACACCCACATAGAGAAGCCCAGTGTCGCTTTGAAACTGAGTGCCTACAGTGTCTTCACAAACAAAGTTTATCCTGTCTAGGTCCTCCCGTAGAGAGGGTAGAATAAGGGTACCAGCTTGTTTTGGTAGTCTATTTTAGTCGGGGAACCCTCCCAACCACAAAAGGGGTTACAAAGGATAAGATGTTTCTAGGACAGGTCCTTGTGCAAGTGGTGTGGGCACCTTGAAATGAGTCGCACGCCTACAAAAAGGCAAGTCTTTTGCTGAGGGCAACTTCTTAACAAGTTTGGGGCTTAAAAGCACTCAGAAAACCAGGTTAGGACTTCTCAGATTTTTAGCAAGACGCGCCCACAAAACGAATCAATGTGCCGCAGAGCCGCCCACCAACTTTGGCACCCGTGATTGCATGGTGACAAAACGCGCAATTTTCACCAGCATAGACCCCAGGCAGCATGGGAGATTGCAGCAGCACCCTGACCAACAGCCTGCCTGCATCGCCAAACAAGCACCGCCTGCAACCACCACACCACCTTGAGCACACCAAACAGCACTCTGCAGCACCAACAACAGCACCTTGCCTGCATCCCTAGACAAGAACCAAAAGCCACTGCCAACGTACTCTCAGGGCTTCACATCTCCTGTCTCACAAAGCCGCACCTGCAACCAAATGGCACCAAGCGGTCACCCGGATTCCGACCACCAGACATTTCCCACCCTTCCCTTTAAAAATCGGACCCCATATGCTCATGGCAAAACCTGGCAACCGGCAACCAAGCTCGTCTTCTCCAAAAACCGCTCCAGAAACCGGACGCAACGCTCTCTTGCCGGACCGAGGCCTCCGGAGGATCCGGGGCGACCGGCGACCGGCGACCGGCGACCGATTGCGACCAGCGCCTGTGCCCTTTCCGGCCCATGATCTTCATCACTGACCCGAAGTTCGCCATCCACCAGGCTTGCGCCAGGAAGATGCCCAGCACCACCACGCCGCAGATGAAATTGTCCAGGCTCCTCTCAAGGAAAGCCCCCGTGATGTTTCCACAGAAAAGGGGGAAAAAAACATCACCAAGGGATACTCATCTCTCATGGCTGTGAGATTCCCCCCCCACACAAAAAAAAAGAGCACCGCCAAAAGACACTCACCTTTCATGGGACAAGGTGATGTTTAAAACCACCAAAGGGAAACAACTCGGGACCCCTGGCTCAAGGAAAACCCCCTGCGAGAAGCACCGATAAGACAGTCAATGCACCACACAAAAAAAATGGTGGTTTTGAATGCTTCATGTTGACCTTGTCCTTGCCGAAACTGTCTCTAAGGCAATTCGCCTTGTCTTGCTTCTACGGGGGCATTCGAATCCGGAGCGTGTGGCAAATGCATATTCAACACAAGTCGTAAAAACCTGCTCCAGCGCGAAGGGCAAGCAGGGCTTGGAAATACCTAACCCTTCTGAAATCTCCAACGGTCGACCTTCTCTGGGCCAAAAAACTATTCGCAGGACAGAAATGTGTCGAACAACTCCGCCATGTCGTTTTTGAACTCGGGGCAACGGCAGCTGTATGGTGTCCAGCTTGGAGATACCGGTTCAGAAGCGCTGGCACAATCGAGGCCTCTAGCCATACATTTGCGCATAGTTGCTGCGCCAAGAAAAGAGGGCTAGCAACAGCGCACGAAGCTGTATATGCATAGGTGCGTGTGTATGCTAATATCTATTGATGTAGGCAATGGAATTCCCAAATGCCAGGGGCAAGTTGCCACAAATGACCTGCTTGCATGCTGAGGGCCCCCGGTTCGCTTGGTAAAAAACAAAAACAAATATAAAAGTGCTGACCATTTTGAGTGCGCGTGGCCGTGCTGGACACTTCTACAAGCCATAAAGAAGCTCTGCAATATATATATATATATATACTTATATGTATCTCTACGTTTCATATGTATCTATCTATATATATGTATATATATGTGTGTATATATGTACGTATATTTATATATATACATAATGGTGGAGGCCTGGACTGTATGTCTCAGTTCACCAACTCTTCGCCCAGCCTCTCCCAGCCCGCCTAAGCACCATAATCACCACCTCCTCCGAGTGAGATAAGTTTCCTGAGGGCCGGGGCAGCGAAGGGATCGAACACACCGCGCGCCTACGCGGCGACGGAAAGAAACCGTGGCAGGGGCGCGTATCACTTTGATGATATTGACCCCGGATTAACCCGTCCCATTATTAGAGGGGTGTTCCCTCCAAAAGTGGTCTGAATCCCCACTAAAAGGGGACACCAAACCCCTGTTGATTCATATGGGGGTGATTTTGGCCTCTCGAAAAGTGGTCTGAATCCCCACTGAAACCAGCGGCAACCCCATATTAATCAACTGGGGTTTATTGCAATACCCTGTCTGCACACAAATGAACTTCATATCCAGAATCTATGTGTTTCTGTGTTCTGCTTTGGCCTAGGGGAGATATAGCCCGTGTATGCAAACTGAGGTGCAAACTGTGCCCTTCTGTTGACCACGGCAAACGCTTGGCACGTGCAATGCCAGCCCTTCCCTTGTCGAACCGAAGGGCAGCATCGGATATCGGATGGCTTCCAGGACAGTTGGTAGCTCAAACCCTCAGTTGATCGACTCCCCATAGAGTTAGGCAACCAGTTGAATGTATATCTTATTGTTTGCTTCACATGGAGTCACTGGTCAAATACGTAAAATATCTCCTAAGTCTACCCCAGTCCCAACCTAGGAAGACTCGAAAAGATTACCAGCCAGTGAAGTCTCGCCCGAAGATTGCCTAGCCGCATTTCTGGCACAGGCGTCTTTTTCGGTTGGTTTGGTAGAAAATAGATGGCCCTGGTTGCTTCACAATCTTCCAGGAAAATCCATCTATTTTCAAACCAAAGGGACACCTACCCCTGGCCTCTAGAAAACGACTGCTAAAAGAGTACCAAGAAAGAGGAGCTGTGAAATGCACCATCCCGCGCAACTCCAAACCGTGTTCTAGCACCTACCCCTGTAAAATCCACCATCCCGCATTTCAACTCTTTGGTTTCTGTTTTGAGGCTCCGTTACCCTTTTGGGAAACCAAACGGAAAACCCAGCATCCACCAGGGAAATCCGCCCATCTTCCACCAAAATTCGCCTCCCTTTTCCCTTGGGCCGAATCCGAAATTCCGCACCTCCGAAAATCCGAGGCGCCGCTGGAGCCCTTGGTGATGTGCAGGATGGCGGCCCACATGAAGAGACCGGAGACCACCAGCAAGGTCACCATCAGGCCCAGGGCCACCGGCTTGTTGGCCCAGGTCCTGGGCCACAAAACTCCTTCCCCGGGTGTTTTCTCCTCTTTCATCTCTACTCTTGGTATGGGCAGGCGAAAAACTGGCTGTTTTTTGCAGAGCCCCAGTAAAAATGAACAGAGCCAAAAAACCAAAAAACGAAAAAACATGCCAAGAACAGTGAAGCTTTGTTTTTCCGCGCACGTGCGAAGAGAGAGACCAAAAACTTCTCTTGTTCTTGTTGGGAGAGCAAGCTTACAACTTCTCCGTTTTGTTTTTTGGGGGGTTCTTTCTTTTTCTTCGCGCAGGCGAACAGACCCCTTGGGGTTCTTGCCTGTGGGGTTGTTTGCAGCTTACAACTTCTCGCCGCGAGCATCAAAAAGGTAGCAAGTCCCCCTCAGATTTTTTGCGCATCGGCCACACCGAGCCCCGCACAGGTTCTGCAGGCTGAAAAAGAAGCAGTTTGTAAGCGGAAAAGGAGCGTTTTGGCTCCGAAAACAATACCTTTTGGGGGGAGATCTTTTTGCTACCCTTTTTGGGAGCCCCCTTTTTTTGACTCTAAAGGGAACCCCTTTCGTTTGGCTCTAAAGCCGTGATGCTTTTCTTGGGGGGGGAGCCCCCTTTCATTTGGCTCTAAAGGGAACCCTTTGATTGGGGAGCCCTTGTTTTTGGCTCTAAAGGAAAACTAAAAGCCGACCAACCTTTTTGAGGGCTCCCTCATTTTTGAGACAAACCCAAATCAAGAAACCCAAGATCGACTGCCCAGGGGCAAGATCTGCGTGAGCATGTGGATGGCTGGCAAACTGACATGCCTCGCGGCGTCGACGGTTTGGACTTGCCAAAAACAAACAAAAAACAAGATCCCGGCGTCCCCACGAACTTCGGATGGTTTGGAGGTGTTTAAAAGGTTGGTTTCGAATCCACGAAGCCACAAGAAACTTTCGGTTCAACTCCGGATCCAAGCGTTGCCATGGAAGAGGGAAATCAACCCCCGAGTATAAGTCTACATTGAAATAGTCACAAAGTGGAAGCCCGGCAACTTGTAGATGTTCCTACCACTTCGGTGGTTTGGGCCTGCATACATGGGCGTCCCCCTCGTTTCCCTCGTCCCTGGTTTGACACACACACTTTCTCTCTCTCTCTCTCTCTCTCGCTTTTGCGCTGTCAAGCATCCCTGAAAATGTGCTGCCTGTCGAGGTTCCCTGTGGGGCCATTGGGAAAACGAACCGCTAGACACGCCGAACGGCACCAGACATGCCGAAAGGTAAGAACGAATCCACCGGGCATTTCAAGCAAGAATGAGAAAAGAGCATATATTATCTACACGCCACACCATGCTTTTGGGTGCTTGGCTGGCTCAGCCTCGATTCCGCAAGCCAGTCCCTGATCACACATGGCCATGGGTCAAAAGCCCGTGCCCCCAGTGAACATAACAATCCCCACTAAAATAGACTAAAATGGGTGGTGCACCTACCCAAAAATGGTACCGTTGGTTTTGACCCACAGCCATGTGAAGGAAAAAAAGGACGCCTGCACTCGCCTGTGAACACCTCCTCGCGCATTCGATTCGGTGCCAGGCCATGGCACGTAACACCCCTGCCTCCCCCCCCCCCCCCATTTTTTGACTCACGTGTCCAGGCACGTGGCAGGTGCCGAAAGAATAAAATGTGCTGTCACAAGCCCACTATCCGTGAACAAACATGAATTGTGCGCAGAAACCATGCTGGAAGGTCTGGATTGTTGCTTTAATTTTCCAATACACCTTTGGCTTCTCTTTGGGCACACTGGCAGACTTCTGGATGCCATGTGCTTTCGCCCCTTGGGTGTCATGTTCAAAAGACCTTCTTGAAACCTTTTTGTAGGGATAGTCATCTTGGGTACTTTGCAGAACCCGAGAAGCTAAGGGAAACCCACCGTGGCCAGCGGTTTTGGCCGTCAGCTGATATTCCGCCGCGCCCCTCCTGACCTCGGACCTGGACGGAGAATCCGAATCCTTGGCATATGGCTTGGGGCCAAAGGCGCGCAAACTTAATATAGTGGACCTTTTAGGAGCAAACCAAATGGCTACGGTGTCCTTTGGCTTCCAAAGAAAGACGACCCGACAAAAAATGGGTACCCTAAAAGACACACCCATACGCGCCCAAATGATCAGAGTGGCGATTGTGTGATACCTTGAAACCAGATTTGGTCAGTGCAGGGTGATATGACTCGTCATAGTTTCGCCCCGAACCTCAAACGAAGGCCAGACCGTGGTCGTTTTGAGGAGTCAAAGAACCCTTCCAGATGTCCGGGGAAGGAAAACTGAAGGGGGGGGGAACGGGGGAAAACGGGAGGCTTCAGCTTCGCCTGAGATCTTCGATCACCGGGTAGATGCCCGCGATGATGGGTGCAATCCCGGCACCAACCCAAGAAGGTACCTACTCACGAGTCGGCTCGCGAGTCGACGCGCGAGTCGACACATTTGGGTGGGTTTCTCAGTTGCTCAAAGGACCTAGAAATAAGTCGTGATCACCTGCCATGCCGAAATTTGGTAGCCAAGAAACCAAAAGGTCAAAAGGTCGGCTTTGGGGAAATTGAGGGTTTTTGGAGTTGTTACCCTTTTTTGGGGTGATTCAAAGCAAAAACAAAAAATAAAACACAATTTTTGGGGGGCCAAATCCTGAAAAAGACACATACCATTGTTTTGATTCATGAAACCAGACCCGCACAGGAGCCATTGCTGTCGAGCTTCGATACATTCCCCCCAAAAGAACAAGTTTTAATCGTACCGTGGTCCAGGAAACCAATGTCAACGCGATGGGCCCACAAGGAGCCGGTGCTGTCACCTGAAAGCATATTACCCCCCACTCCAAATACCTATTGAGTAAAGGGTATGATGTCCACCCCTGACTGAAAAAGGAGGTATTTACCATAAAACATATTGTTCAACACATACCCTAAACCAAGTTGGTTGAAGTATGTGCTCGCCACCCTCAGGGGTCTTGCCATTCGTCAAGAGGCTCCGCCATGCAGATGAATTATCAACCCGATTGAGTTTTTTGGGGGTCCAACCTTGCTCCAAAAGAAAGATCCAGTCCCTCAACCAGACACCCAATTCAAACGGGTGCCGGTCATTTGGGCACACGATTTCGAGCCCCGAGCCAAGTCAGGTGACAAACTCCGAGCAAAAATCATAGAACCCCCTAGCTTTTCGTGCCTTTGATCAACTTTGATCTATCGATTCATTTCCTGGAACAGAAATCCAACAATTCCCTACTTGCACCCCATGTTCAATCCACACCTCATCCACCCTAACGCCCCCTGCTTTCCCTTCACACCAATTTGTACTCCAGAAAACCAACGAATCTCTCACAACATTGTTGAAGCCCCAAAAAGAGTTTCTAAAGCAGAATTTCTATTGAGAAAAACACATGGCTTGTTTCAGGGAAATAACCCTTCAAACCAGCCAGTAAACTCGCCTGATGGGTGAATGAGCGGACTCTTCTCCCAAGAATTCCGAGGGGCGAAAAACAAATTCATAATGTTCCGACGCTTCAGACACGCAGAGACACATATCATGCACACGTCCCAGAGGGTTGGGGGAGGGAACAAACAATTTGCACATCCGCCACCCCAAAAATTCGCCCCGCATCTTGCCGTGGCGATGGGGGACAAAAAACAACGATGCCCCAATCCGGAGACCGAACTTGTGGAAAGACATTTGTTTAAAAGAAGAAAACAAATGCCATGAATTGCACATCCTCTCCTTTTCACATCAACCCAAAGCCGTGTTTCTCAAGACCATGGGTGCCCTTCTGGGCTTTTTTTCTCTCAAAAGGGAAGCGTTTCGGAGACCCTTCCCACCTGGAGTCCCAGCCATTTAGGCCACCAGTTGCATGGGTGGGTGTTTCTCTTTTTAAGAGGCAACCCCCCCAAAAAAAAAGAGAGAAAAGCTGGCTTTCCTTTTGGTGGCCCTTTCCATCAAGAGGCCTCCCTAACGAAAAAGAACCCGCACCCCCCCCCCCCAACCCCCAACCCCCAACCCCCCCCCCCAACCCCCAACCCCCCCCCCACCCAACCCACCCACCCCCGACGTCTCGCCTTTGGCACCGCCTCGGCCCGCAGCACCACCTGCCGCGCCCTTACCTGACAACTTCGACTCGAGTCCGGGCCCGCCGGGAGAAACAACCGCCCCGACGCGCTGGGTGCGGTGCAAGTGGGGGTGGTTCAAATGAAAGGACCCCCCAAGTAAATGTGTCCCCAAAAATGGAACCAAAGGAAAACCAAAAGCTCAAGCTCAGCCTGCAAAACACCGATACCTTCGACACCACCTCCTACGCTTCTTCGACTTCGTTCCCCGAGGCCCGCTCCTGAATCGGCTCCGCGCCGTTGTTCTCCACCAGCGTCTTCCTGAGATCCGAATCCGCAGACAGCACGAGACTCTCCAGTAGCCCTAGCCTTCCCGTCGCTTTTTTTTGGGTTGGCATAAGGGATTGAACATCCAACGATTTTTTGACCCAGCATTGATAAACCCCGGCAAAAGATTCACTAGGGAGGTCCAATTTTAGAGGGAACCCTTTGCTCAATCTTGGAGGGTGCCCTATTGAGGATACATTCGGGGTCAAGACTACGGACCCCCTGCTTTCCAGAGCCCGGAACCGCTGCTTTCTGCAAATGCTTGGGGCAATAGAGCATGGAGAGGTAAAGAAGAGTAGCATCAATCGGAGCATGTGTAAGAAGACAAGCGACCATGATGATTCTGATGTTAATTATTGTTTCGGATGTTCGTCGTTGTGTCGTTTGATTCGATTGCTTGCTCTGAAGGTATCTACATGATGTGCTTGAGAGGGGCTCCTTCCATTCCCGGGTGTTGATTCAACGGCGCGTTGGGCTACGTTCTAAAGCCATGCCGAATCAGGAACGGGCACCTCCAGGAAGCTGAGAAAGAGCACCGATGTTTTTTGCCCAGGGCTACATATTCTCGGTTGCTTTCTGCTTCCCTGCTAAAAGTTTAACCTTTAGTGGTTAAATGGAAAACCCATTAGTTGGCAAAAAGTTAATAACATGTTAATAACATCCAAGCAAAATGCACCAAAGTATTGATAGTGGGTTGGACATGTGATTCCTAACCAGCAACGGACGCCAGCCCCACTGTCCTTCCCAAATGGGTCCTGCTCAGACTCTCTCATACCCTTGCTTTAGAACTGATTTGGCCATATGGCAACCGACCGCATGCATAAGCATAGGTAGGGCGAAGGGGTTCTAAACCAGGCGGGCAACCAAGAGATGCACGTCGAATCCGGCGTCGCCCCTGATGCATGGCATCCTGCTAAATCCCCTCGGTCCCAAGGAAGTTTAGAGGAAACTTCCACGTTATGGAAATTGATCGACAGTAGCTTCGCATAGGCGAAAAGATGTGTGCGCGCGTGGCGGGGCAATAGAAATCGCAAAAAAAGAGCAACCCTCTGCAGGTGTTAACATCTCCGGATGGCTGAATGCTACCTAGTGACGCCCGGACGACGGTGTCAGAGCGGGCAGCGACCCGGAACTATTGATACGCGCGCGCGCGTTCGCGACTGCAGATTGCGTGACAGGCGCAGCTCTTCGGCAACCTGCAGATTTCGTGGCAGGCGCATAACTCAATGCAAAGAAAGTTACTGCATAGCTAGATTTATCGAGAATGGATAGCTAGATCTAGATAGACACATGTATAATAAGCTAGATAGACAATAGATAGCTAGATAGATCGACACATAGATAGATAGATAGATAGATGGATAGATAGACAAGTAAATGCACAGACCGACAGGCAGGCAGGCAGGCAGACAGACAGACAGACAGACAGATAGATAGATAGATTGGGTTCGGTTAGGTTACATTAATTGGGCAAGATTAGGTTAGATAGGAAAGATAGATAGATACATACACGTAGATAGATAGATAGATAGATAGATAGATAGATAGATAGATAGACAGATAGACAGACAGATAGATAGATAGATAGATAGATAGATAGATAGATTGGATGGATAGATAGATAGATAGATAGATAGATAGATTAGATAGATTAGATAGATTAGATAGATTAGATAGGTTAGATAGATTAGATAGATTAGATAGATTAGATAGATTAGATAGATTAGATAGATTAGATAGATAGATAGATAGATAGATAGATAGATAGATAGATAGATAGATAGATAGATAGATAGATAGATAGATAGATAGGTTAGATAGATAGATAGATAGATAGATAGATAGATAGATAGATAAATAGATTAGATAGATAGATAGATAGATAGATAGACAGACAGATAGATAGATAGATAGATAAATAGATAGATAGGTAGGTAGCTGGGTAGATAGATAGATAGATAGATTAGATTAGATTAGATTAGATTAGCTTAGCTTAGCTTAGCTTAGATAGACAGATAGATTAGATTAGATTAGATTAGATTAGATTAGATTAGATTAGATTAGATTAGATTAGATTAGATTAGATTAGATTAGATTAGATTAGATAGATAGATTAGATTAGATTAGATTAGATTAGATTAGATTAGATAGATAGATAGATAGATTAGATATATTAGATTAGATTAGATTAGATTAGATTAGATTAGGTAGATAGATAGATAAATCGATAGATAGATAGATTAGATTAGATTAGATTAGATTAGATTAGATTAGATTAGATTAGCTTAGATAGATAGATAGATAGATAGATAAATTGATAGATAGATAGATTAGATTAGATTAGATTAGATTAGATTTAGGTAGATAGATCGATACCTAGATAGGCGGCAGGTAGACAAGTAGATAAAGAGCGAGAGAAATAAGCAACGCTAAAAACACAAAAAGTAAAGAGAAAGAGAGAGCAAGAGAGAGAGAGAGAGAAAAGACAAAGAACAAGCAAGGAACGAAGAAAGAAAGAAAGAAAGAAAGAAAGAAATAAAGAAAGAATCAAAGAACTAAAGAACTAAAGAACTAAAGATGAAGATAGTGATGAAGAGAAAGGAACAAAGAAAGAGACAGATATAACAAAAAAGAGAACGATAAAAGAAAGATAAACATAAAACGAGAGACGGAGAAGAAAAGAAACAACACAGAGAAACAGAGAGAAAGAGAAAGAATAACAAAAAAGAGACAAAAGATAAATCACACAATAACAAAAGGAACAAACTAAAGAGAAAAATGCTAAACAATGAGAAACGGAAAGGGAGAGAGAGAGAGAGAGAACAAAAAAGAAAACAACAGACAGAGAAACGACTGCGAGAGAGAAAAGGCCGGAAAGAACCAGAGAAAGAGAAAGAGAAAGAGAGAGAGAGAGAGAGATAAACAAAAGAAAGAAAACAACTTTTCTTTTGAAGCTTCCGCCAACCGGCTTCGCCGGCTCTACTGGTACGACACGCCAACACACGAATCACCCTTCTCAAAAGCAATCCCATGCGGTCCAAACCCAGTCAAACAGATGCCCCAAGTGAGGCAAGCGGCTCATAGATGACTGTCACAGCATCCTCTGGGCCAACCGCAGTCACCTCGTTGCCAAGACACAGGTAAAAGCCAGAGGCAAAACACAAAACCAGCACCTGTCACGATGATGGATCCTGTTTGGGGGCTGTTGTGGAAGAAAACCAGAAGCAAATGAGGTTTTGCTTTTGGAGGGTCTCAAAATTCGACCTTCAGAAATCTGCGAACTTTCGTTTCCTGGTGTGCAAACACCACAACCCCAATGCACGATGCCTCGCCCTATGGGGGTTCAGAACGAACGCCATCAAACGCCAGCGGGCAAGGGCGCGCCACGCTTGCCTTGCATCGCCGTGGTGGCCATAGTTTGCTTTGAATGTACCATAGTTTGTGAGCGAAGGATAGATACTTCTAGCGACTTTACCGAAAAGGCCAGCATGCCCGTTGGCAAGACTGGGCTGGACTGCGCCACACTTCCCTGCCAAAATGATCGCCGGGTGTTTGGGCCCCTCACCTCCCTCACCTCAAAGGCCCAGGCCCCTGGTTTCCCCGGCCTTGCATCGGGCCCCTCACCTCACCTCAAAGGCCCAGGCCCCGGGTTTCCCCGGCCTTGGCGGGCCAACGACCTTCCACCCAGACGAGGTCGCCCTTGTTGAAGTGCGGCCCATCCTCGACCTGTCCAGCTGCCCGGAAGCTAACCCTAGGCCCCAGCCCTCTGCGTCCGTTTCAACAGAAACCCTCTGCGAAGGGCATCCATCGGCCCATCTGTGGCCGTGTCAGCTGCCCCGCGAATTGGTTGGGTTGTGGTTTAGGGCTCAGGGATGGCTACCTTCCATTGAGCTTTAGAAGGGGTTCGAAGGCCAAAGGTTCCAACTCAAGCCTCCCCAAGAGTGTGTCCCCTTAAGGTTACGCCACTTCGCCCGGTTCCCCGCTGTGAACGCCCCCAAATGCTGTAAAAGCCTCAAAAGAGAGGGTCCCGAACCAGTTTGGCTTGACAGACAGCTAGGTGAACACATACACACCCACATCCACCTCCTCGAGGTCCATGCCCCTCCCCCCCCCCTCCTGCTACTTAACAAAGAACATCTATCTATATGTACACATATGTATTTATACATTCATGTATTTGTTTATTTGGTTAGTTGTTACTCATTTTTTTTATATACATAGATACATATATATATATATATATTCATTTATTTACTAGACACCGCACCCCCACCCCCACCCCCGCCCCCACCCCGACCCACACCCCACCCACACCCCACCCACACCCCACCCACACCCCACCCCCACCTGCACGAAGGGCGCGGCCGCCAGCGCCAGCCTCAGCTCCTCCAAGGTCACCGCCGGCTCCCCGTCGCGGATGGCTTGGGCGGCGAAGCCCCGCAGCTTGCCGCGGGGGTCCTCCAGCTTCGCCTTCATGTCCTGGCGAGAGGGCGAAAAAACGCCTCCTACGCCTCGGGGAAGGGGAAGGTTGGGTGGTTTGGGGGGGGAAGGCAAAACCAAATGGGGGAAGAAAAAAACGAGAAGAGCCAAAAGGGGCAAAACCGAAGTGGGGAAAAAAGAAAAACGAGAAGAACGAACAAGTCCTGAAGAACAAACTACTTTTTGGGGCAGCCAGCAAATGCATATGAAGAATAACTAGAAGAACTAGGGGGCAACCATCGAAACCCGAAAAAATACGTTTGGCAAGGAACACAATGTCCCGGCTGGAAAAAAAATGGGGCCAACAAATATGTACATATATTTCTATATATATATATATATTCTATATGGGAAAAACCTAGAAGAACGAAACAAATCCAGGCATCAACTATATATAACTAGTGGAGAAATCTCTTCTTGGGGGCAAAAAAACATGGAAAAAGCTGGAAGAACGAACAATCTAAGAGGTTGTAGGCTGCAACGAACTATTGGACATTTAGTTGTAGAATTTGTTCCCGCAATATCGAAAAAGAGCTTGATTTGCCCCAAATGTGTGCCAGGAAAGAACTACTCACTTGGGTGGATTGGCCGGAAAAGTCTAAACTTGTTACGAGTCTGGTCCCAACAAGTTTACCCAAGAACTCAGGGAGTGAGACTATGGTGGCAGGTTCCACTTAACTTGGCTGGAATTAGGACCCCAGCAAATATATATATATATATATATATATATATATATTTGCCTGGTTAGTGGAAAACAAAGGAACCCCCCAAAAAAGCAGAAAAAGCAAAAAGGGGAGCTAGTTCTGGTGAAGTTTTCCAGAGCTTGTTTGGCCATTGGTTGGGCCAGGAACGTGTTTGGCAACTTCAGAGGGCTTTGGGAATGAGAGGTCATTCCCAGGTCGCAGGTTTTGCTCCCACAGTTGGCCAAGCACCCACCAAAAGGCAGCATCTCTCTCCTCAGGATTTGGTTTCTTAGAGCTGAGGCCTGGATAGCCAACTTAGAACCGTGGTCTTCTCACTTCCGAACGAGTGGATTGGCCAAGAATCTCCAAACTTTCTGTTTACCATGAAAAATGGCCTTCCCGAAAAGCTTTTATAAAGTTCAGGAACCCAGGGAGTGCGTTGCATCCTACTCCAAATGAGCTTTCGGGGTGTTGAAGGTGGCAGAAGTTGGTACCTCCTCGACCTCCAAATCTCCAGTAACTCGCTCCCTGAGTTCCTTAACTCTAACTTTTTCGGGAAGACCAACATGCAAATACGCGTGACAAGTTTGGACAAGTTTGGACATTATTGTCCAATCCACGTGCGAAAGTGAGAAGTGCACTTGGTGTCCGATTCGTTGAGAGAAAAAAAGAAAAAAAAGAAGAAAAAAAACGCAAAACAGAAAGTCGGCGGGTCAGTTCCTCCCGCAGCAGGCGGTTGATGAAGCGGAAGATCTCCTCGGTGTCCCGCCACGCTGCCGTCTGCTTGAAGCCCTCCTTGCGGTGGTAGCCGCGAGAAGGGGGGGGGGAGGGGGAATCCAAATGGGTGTTTTTTAGGGGGCCCCCAAAACATGACAACGATGTCCTGTTGGACCATCAAAGGTCTGGCCCATTGTTCTTGATTATGTGCATATATACATATATAGAAAAAATCACTTCCATTCAGTCGTCAGTTCACGCGAAGCAGCCCCATGTTCTGACTCTGCTAACCCCCAGAAACAGTGAACATCATGGCCCAGAGAATGGGGGGGGTGCCCGCATCCAACCGATTTTAAGACACACTTCCGGAGATAACACGCATGGGATTTCGGTGGTCCTTTTGGTTCCCAAAGTTAACCTGCGGGAAGGGCAACTCAAAGACACCATGTAGTTCAACAACCTGGCGCCCTGGCGCCCTTTCTTTTCAAGGGGACCGACGGCAAGGGCTGGGGATGTACAACAATCCAATCATTTTCCATCCTACAAATCAAATCCCCACCAACCGCTCTCTTTTCTTTGCGGGGAGGCCCCAAAGGACGCCTTGACGACCACGTGGGCGCGTCGTCAGCCCTTCGCCCGCCCTTCGCTCGCTCGCTCGCGCCGACGACAAACGCCGACGCCTCGGTGAGCGCCGCGTTGTGGCCCCCCCGCGTCATCCAGGCCCTCGCCTTCGGAGTGTCACGCAGCGAGAAGTGCAGCGAGAGAAAACCTCCCTTCGAGTGGGTTTTTCCCTTTCAGGAAATCCCCAAAACCAGCGGATGCTTCCCAACACCCAAAGGGATTTTTCTTAAAACCAGGACCCTCCGAGTTGAGTTGGTGTCCTTTATTCGGGAATCCCCGAAACCTTGGTACCTTCCCCATCCTCTTTCCAGAATTCCTTTCCGGAAACCTCCAGAAACCCAGGGAAAACGGATCCGGATTTTGCAAAGAGTAGAAAACCAGCTCATTCCCAACACCCAGGCCATGCCCAAAACCGGGACCCGAGAGCTGGCGGCCTTTATTCGGGAATCCCCAAAACCGTCTCATTCCCAACACCCAAAGGATTTTTTCCCTACTGAGTACCAGCAAGACAAGTCTGGGGCTGCCTTCCATTTCCAATCTGAACCCAGCTATCCTTTCTAGAAATAATTGAAATAGCCAAGAAAAAGCATCACTGTTCTTGAGAAGAACCATGGTCGAACGGAATGGTTGGAATCAACCTCTAGAATAAGGGCTCACACCGGCCGCGCTCTCCGAAACGAATCCTGCTGTGTATGTTCTACAGTGGGATGAGTACCAAAGTCAAGATGAAGAGTGGAAGCGAACCAATGGCTATCGCTGTTAGTCGCGATTTTTGAGACGCGTCGGGGCCAATGGTTTCATGCCACGGCAAAAAAATGTGTGAGTCACGTCTTCTTTTGGGAGCGTGTTCAATTGGGGGCCCGCAAAAAGAACAGGTTGAAGGCTGGACTTGAAGCCGGCGCCGGAGCCTTCGGGAATGAGTTCACGAAGAGTGAGATGGCCAGGAGCAATGGGACGATGGCCCAGACCAAGTAGGTCCTCCGAGCAAGAAACAAAACACCTGGAATGCCCCGCGAAGAGCCAAGGAAACGCTCCTTGCCTGGGCAACCCCGAAGATGTTGACCGTTTGGTCAGGGGCAGCGGTTATCTCGACCCGCCAACCATCTACGCAAGCAAGCAAGCAAACAAACCAACAAACAAGCATGCAAGGGTTGAAAGGCCCATCAGGGACAGGAACAAATAATCCCTACCTCCAAACAAAGATGGAACCTGGAACCCCACAAACAATTCGGGGACTTGCCAGATGTTCCAGAGGGTCTGAAGTAGGCATCCAACTGCGGAAGCTCCCTCGCCATCCAGGGGTTGGCCCAGGGCCAACCCCCTCTCACCCCCTCCCCCCCTTTTTGGACCAGGATTTCGAAAAATACCCTTAACAAAGTGGGTATGTGGAGTAGGGGGTATTTGTTGGTGGACTGGATAACTCTTATTTCTACAAAAGGCATTGAATCGATTGTTTGAGCCAGATTTTTTACAGGTGGCTTCGGGACCTTGGGCCCATCCAAACTAAAAACCGTCGGCTGCCACGCAGCCATCACTCCGCTGGGATCCCACCCGGATCCTGACACAGCAGGCAATGAGGCCCACCAAGTAGATCAAGGACAAGGGCCAAGAGCGCCAGGAGACCTCGCTTCTTTTTCACACCTCCAGTTTGGGGGCAGCAGAAATCTTCGGCTGGGTCGAAGGCTGCGAAGGCCGCGAAGAAAAACTTTGGGATCTTTGATTTTGATCGGCAATGTGGAAGGGGGGTTGGCAGTTAGAGATATTTTCAGGAGAGGGAAAAATCCAGACTTCGCGTGCATGGAAGAAACTGCCGCGGGCATTTCGCTTCCAGAAAGCCAACTTGCGCCACGCATTTTCTGACTTCGGACAAGATGCCAGGTACTTGAAGCCATAGACACAGCACAAGACGGCATCATCCACCACGCGGACCTTCACCTATGTCACGCAGGGTTGCAGCGAGCGGTTTTTTCTAGGTCCATTTCCTCGCCGTTTTCCTCGCAAAACACCCCTGGAAAGTGTCAGTCAAATACCGGCCCTAGTTGGTCAGCTTCCTGGTTTGGGTTGGTGGTTTGGTGAAAAAGGGTGCCACATTTACCCTCCACAAAAGCCAGGGGATCAAAATCCAAATCGCTAAAACCACCAACTGCGGAGCACCTGAGGTTTGGCCAAGGTAAAAAATGAAAGTAAAAAACGAGACAAGCTTGGCCTGTCAAAGTTGCTGTGAATGCAAACTTGAAACAAGACCTTCAAGACAAATACCCGAAGGTTGAATTATTGAAGCCGCGAAAAGCCCAGAAAATGAGGAAGGGTATGCTGGTTTGTGGGCCTGGGAAAGAACGAAAACAAATGCTGCTCGCGCGTCATTCTCCTGAAGGTCCAGGCCGAAATTGAGGGTATTGCCGCCACTCGAGTGCCAAGAGAAGGGGGGAAGTTGCTATTCCATCCACTAGCCCCAAACCACTACCCCCAATGTTTAAATGAGAGATACAACCACCATATAGCCACTATACAGAGGGTATATACAGTCCATTTTCCCTGTAAAGGTAGTGGTTTGAAGCTAGTGGACAAACAATCTTAGATTCTATATACTTCATTCCCACCAACTCTGTGGCCATGTTCCCGCCTAGCTCCTTACTTTTCTCGCCAGGTCCCATACCTACCATTCTTCTGGGGAAACACAAATTTCTGCTGGTGATAGATTCCCTTTAGAACCACCTGGAGAAATAGTGATGTGACCCCATATTCATCAACCAACCAGTTTAGTAATAGGGGAGTGTTCATTCATATGGGGTCAACATTAATAATAATACTAATAATGATGATAATTGTAAAAATACTAATGAAGCCAATGGAAGGCTACCATTACCATTCCGAAGACATCGCGGGATCAACTTATTTGGCCTCCCAGAGGTCATCGTAGCAGCGCTGGATGTCCACTTTGCGGGTGAGCACGACCTCCTCCTGCGAAAGAAAGGCCGATTTGTGTTGCGATCTGGATGTGTTTTTTTCCTTTTTTTATGGCCATGGGTCGAAATCCTGAAGTTGGAGCCTGACGTTTCGAGGTCCTGGAAGACGATTTCCCTTCAAACAGACCCTCTGGCGGGTTCCATGATAGAGGACAGGAGAACACCTTTCTTTTTCAATTGAAGGGACGGTGCGCTTGCCATGATTGGCAAGTCTTCAGAATCATGGAATCATGGGTTGGACAGGATCAGCGCTTCGTTTGATACATGAAGCCTATTCAAATTCAAGATGTATGTCACTTGCGAAGGGCAAACATGATGCCACCACTGTCCACTTGTCATGCCTGCTTCACAGCATATCCAACATCGCATGAATGCACGAAGCAGCAGGTATGAAAATAGAGCCATTCCATGAACGACAGGGCTATGTTCATGCCCCGTGGCAGAAGATTGAACCAATCCACTCTCCTGAGCAATTTGCTTCACTTGTGCTTCCTGACTTCCTACCCAAAAACTTCTGACTTGCTCCTAGCGCCCAGATGGGCGACATCACTGGAGCTTCACTCCCTGCATGAAACTCTCATCAAAAACCAGCCGTTCCTTGTCTTCAGCGCTCAATATGGTGGACTACCCAATTTTTCAGGTTGTTCGATCAAAGAATGACACCAGCCAAATGGGTGTGCATTTTTCAGGGGACCCTAAAATGGATTGCGGTGTTCATGCCGGTTTCCCTGTAAACCAACCCAGAAGGGCAATGTTGACCCCAGTTTCTAACAGGGGGTTAGTGAGTGGTTTTACTTTTGGAGGGGCCCCCACCCCCGTAGCAAAATCGGGGGGTTTATTAATCCGGGGTCCACATTACCCTCAAAGAAAGACATCTCACGAAGAACATTGCAGCAACGCGTCCTGCCAGCTGGCGAAAAGGCGACTCCAAGAACGATTCGGGCGGGTCTTAGAAACGGGAAACCCCCTCCCACCCCCCTCCAAAAAAAAGAAAAAAAAGGAGGTGGATGTCCAACTTGTTGGTCTCCCTTCAAAAAACCAACCTTTTTGGGGCCATCCTCAAAAAAACAAGACCCCCGCAGCCCCAACGTCGGTCTCAAGCGCCTTGGTGCCCAGGTTCACCGGCGCCGGAGGGTCCAAGGCCAAGGCGAACAAGCTGTCGCCGCTGCCTGGGGATCGGGGCCCGAAGACTGGCGCACATGCCAGAGGTGGGCGTGAAATATGTCTCTATGGATCCACATTGTTTTAGTATTTTTATTATTATTATTGTTATTATTATTATGTTGTTTTTGTTGTTTAACTCCTTTATGTGTGCATCTACATATTGTATGCACAAGTTATGTACATGCAAATGTCTGTGACACCATGTGCATCTTAATACTAGTGCGGCTATGTGGCCATGGGTCAAACCCCGTACCCCCAGTCCTACCCCAACATGGTACCATTGGTTTTGAACCATGGCCATTTTACCATTACCACGATCAAAGTCACCCCCGTACGTGGCGGGTAAAAAAGAAACACCCGAGTCTATTTTGTGACTTTGGTACCCACCAGAAACCGTCAAACTAATGACCCCAGGACTAGTCGCCTTTTGCGAGCGGCCGAGCCCGAGTTGAGCGCTGCGATTCAGGGTGTGACTTTTGATTTGGGCGTGTCTTTGCGACACCTGGGGTGATTTGGGGGAGTCCTTTTTTTTGGGCATCCACTTGGTGTTTTTTTTCTTTTTGGCTTCCCTACAAAAACCACACCAACAAGGTGCCCTCGAAAACAGACAGAAACATGTGGTAGATGGCACAATTCCCTCAGCAAGGGGATGACCAAATCAAAATGGGTCGGAATTGTGACATCTACATTCACCTAAGGGCAATGCAGAACCCAGAGGCTTCACCAAAAACAGGTCTTTCTTTCCGACCAGATTCCATGTTGCGTCTCCCTTCCAAAAGCTCGCGACGCCTTCAGCCATGAGCTCTGCGTCTAAAGGGCTATTGGGACTCCAGGTGAAAACTCCTCCCTGAAGGGTCCTTTGTGCTGCCCGAATTCGAGACCACGAGGCATGGGTGCGTCTTCTTGAGGCGACCCTTTTGGTGAAAACCCAGAAATTTGGGGGGCCCCCTTTGACTCCCAACCCACCCGCATCTGATCGATCGCCGGGCAGCTCACAGCCAACTTGAGGCGCAAGGAGATGTAAACTTCTCCCGCGTTGTTGCGAATTCGGCTCCTGCCTCCCTCCTGCGAAGGTCGGAGGCCATTCCGTTTTGACGGTGACCCCTTGGGCGGAAAAAAGCACACAGCGTTGCCTACCGTCATGTTCTGAAATGGGGGTGCAAGGGTAGGGTAAAAGTAGGTGGCGCTGTGTCCTTTATGTCCCAAAGACATGACAAGAACAAAACTTTCACCAAATGTAAACCTGCCAAATATGTCAAAGTCCACTGGAAAGATCCACCTGGCTTGAGAAATGTGGTGTTCCGATTGGGCAGCAAGCACGTTGCGCCATGCTGCTGGGGCTGGCAAAGAAACTCCATCTACCGTGATACGGAGATCTGACGTTTGCTCCTGCAGTGCCCGTAAGCAACACCGTGTCCCGTCAGGCATGAAGGCATGCTCATCACCAACAGCTCAATTGCTGAGTGGCCATAAAAAGTCCAGACTTGTCGCTCGCCACTCATAAAAAAGGCCTCTCCAAAAGTTCAAATGTCGGAAATTCGGTAAGTTAGACATCTGTGGGTTGGAGTCAACTCTTCTTTTCGCTTCCCCAAGCGGTCACCCCCCCCCCCTTTTCCCCCCCCGGCCCCCCAATCAACGAAGCGCATTGCGGACGGCCAGTCACCAACAGCCTGCCCCGAATCGCCGGAAAATCCCCCTGAGCCACCAGGGAAAATCCGAATCTCACTGAACTCATGGCACCAAGATGTCTGACAATGCTAAAAACCGAGTCTCAGAGAGTCTCCCGGTTCCACATTGATTCATTCATCTCCCTTGCGCTCAGGGGAATTTGCCACCTGCTTTGTCCAAGCCCCCCCGTATCTCACGCGGTCGACTGGAAAACCAATGGTGGACACCTCGCCTCTACTTTGCAATCACCTTTGAGGAACTTCTGTATTTGATTAGCCTTGCAACATCTGCTCTAAGTGTCGACACCTAGAGCACAGCCAACACCTGCCCCCCCCCCCCCCCGCCCACCCCCGCAAAATCTGCTGCAAGCATCCGTGGCACCCAGATCTCCTCCCTCCCCTCCTCCCCTCCCCTCCCACCCGCCCTGCCCATTTGGCAGTGGCTCAAATTGAAGAGGTCCATGTTTCCACTTACCAGGGCAAGCCATACCCCCCCCCCCCCCCGCCGCAAAATCCAAGCATCCGTGGCACACAGATCCCCTCCCTCCCCTCCCGCCCTTTTACTGGGGCAAATCCATTTGGCGCGCCTTGAGGCTCTTGCTCAGCGTCTCAAAGCCATACTCCTCCGCCTTGTCCGCCGTGGAGCTCACGCAGGACTGGCCATCGCATCCGCTCAGAGGGCGCTTCTTTTTTTGGCTCGGCCCGCGTTGGTTTTGTTGGATTCCATTTGGTTAAGGCCCCAAGAAAAAAAGTAAAAATACATCCAGTGGTGATGAATTCCTTTTAAAACCAACAAGGGAAAATAAAGAATATTCTTAAGCAAATGGAGGTTGGACTGCAGCTGGGCGTGGCTTCTTTTGAAGGTATCCCCTTTTTGTGGTCAAAAATGCCTGGAAACCAAAAGGATGCCTGCCTTTGTTTGTCTTCTTTGGGGGGGGGGATCCCCTTTAAGACACGCCCAAATGCTTGGGCAGAAATCGCTGGAAAGTGGCAGCCGGATCCCTTGGATGGGCTGCCCATTTCAAGGCAAGCAAGGCAGCAGCCCACCAAAGCCGCAAACGCCAGCTGCCGACAAGTGGCCAAACTCACGTGGCACGGTTGCCACAAAGGGGGGAATCAAAGACAGGCTCCCCAAAAGTACCCCCTCGGCGCATTTCTCACGTCAGGAAGGCCCTTTTAACACCAAAGCAAAGAGAGCTGGCGAGCGAAAAGGAACCCGGAACAAAAAAGACCCCAGCAACAAAAAAGGAAACAACACGGGAGGGAAAAAACAGGGCCCGCAAAGGCTTCCGTCCAAAACACCCAAACCAAAAAAGGACCCGTCTGAAAAGAGGGGGTGGGGGGGCTTTCGGGGAATCCGTCCGCGCACCGCGCCTGGAAGGCGTCCATGGCGCGAGCCTTGGAGGGAGCGTAGTACGGGGTCTTCTTCACCAGCTTCCTGGGCGCGCCCCCGCCCCGGGTCGAGCCGGAAAGAGGCGGATTGTCCCTGCTCCCGAAAATCGGGCTCCATGTGAAAAGGGTGGCATTGGATTTGTTTTCCCAGGAAACCGCCCGACGGCCCCGACATCTCGTGTTGCTCTCTCTCCGGCAGCGAGACGGTGGCAACTTAGCCCCAAAGCGGTTGTTCTCTCAACCCCGTGATCATGACCACAGACACTGCTCCGCGGACATGGTTGCTGTCTATCACGTCAACCATATTTTTGCTCACGGAGAGGGAGCACTCGCAGTGTGTTCAATCCCTTCTTAGCGGACTGTGTTGCCTTGCCGGCCGACTACGTCACGGAAGGCGGCAACTGCAACCATGCCAATGCGCAGCGCATGAGTACATCCGGCATGTCTCGCACAAAAACGGGCGTGCGAGCAGTGATGTTGACCCCGGAGAAATAAACCCCTGGTTGATTCATAGGGTGTCCCCATGCGGGGTAGGGAACACCCCCCCAATCATGGGACAGGTTTATTCATCCTGGGCCACCAATCGCCCGGCACGGATCGAAAACAAATGGGCGCCGCCGGGGGCTCAGCTTCGCCGCGCTCAGGATCGCTCGAGCTGTGACACGGGCGTGGGTGGGAGCTCTTGGAGCCAGCAGAATTGGCCCACAAGAGGAGAAATGCGTGCCCACAAGGAAGATGCAGCCTCTGAGCGAGGAGCAGGGTCGCGACAGCTGCGAGCCCGCCCGTCAGAAGCTAGTCTTACCAGACTAGCGGCTGGTGTTCTTTCCAGCGCTGACATCACGTGACTCACCGCGCTAGCGGTTGAAGCACACTTGCTCGGCATATTTATTTTCACAAGATCTGCATTGACAGGCTAAGCTGCCGGGTCAAAACATTTTGGCTTTTCCTTTGCTCTATTAGTTTAGCTTCATTTCATAGGCATTCTCGAGGCCAACATGCTGCATGGGAAGCAATGCTTGTGTCTGATTTGATAAGCTTTCTACTTTCTACCATGTAGAACAGCTTCCGCTGCATGTGGATTGTCAGCATGACATGCACCGGGGCGCATCCCGCAGTGGTTTTTCCACTGATTCCTAGGGGGGTAAGGTGGGACGTGGGAAAAGTGTCCTTTCCGCGTCCAACCTTTGGATTGCTGCGCGGAATGGATTCCAGGGCTGTGCCCCTTGAAGCCGCAGGCTGCATGATCTCGCAAAGGGAACCTTGGAGTTCTGGTTCGGTGCCGAGTGGCGAGCAGGACGCTGAAGAGAAGAAAATATCGAGTCAGCAAGCCCCTGCCTTTCCGGTGCAAATCAGTGTCTAGCATTTTCTTCTTGGGCCTGCGACCCTACATTCCCGTCAGGGCTTCGGGTTCGCAGTGTTTGACCTGAGCACGCTACATCAAGGCAGCGCTAGCCAGGGACCCTACAGACCAGCCTTCAAGGACCCCTCACAAGGGTTGGGTGCCTAAGGAGCCTTATTGAGCCTTGGGCCTAACCCTTGCAGCCCAGGGGTCTTTGCGGGGGCTGGCAAGGCCCTGGCTTATGCAGTGCGCAAAAAGCTGCGTGCACTGAGGAAGCTAGTTGCCTGCTGAGTTCAGGCATACGTGCTCCGACAGAAGCACGCCGTCGAAGCACGCGACACGCTTGCCAGCGGGGTCTTCCGGCTGGGGCCTTGTTTCACTTCAACGGGCATAGTATGTACACATCGCACCAACACCCCATTCGCATACCAAATGGGACAAGCAAAGTGCTCTAACCAGTGGCCAAGTTCGTAAAGTGGGACCAGCGATTGGTTTTTTGGATCTTGCGATGAACAGAAAGGCTACACCCAAACCTCAGCGGTAGCCGCAGTCACACGTAACTGGGTGACACCTGGCTGGGGGGCCAAATGCTGGCAAATGCTGACGGAAGCCCTTGGCTTACGAACCACTTTCCCACACATGTAGCATAGCGGAGGCTTAAAAAGATGTTGCCTCGACAAAGACCAAGCCTGTGGCGGGTTCCATTGAGACTACAAAAGGGGCACTAGCAAGCTGTTTGGTCTTTGGAGCTTTGAAAGGAATCCAAAGGCAACATCAGGGAAGCCCACGTGAGCCCTATACCCTCACGAGCCCATTCAACAGGGCAGAACGCGAGGAAAGCCAGACGCCGGAAACAGGACAACGAGTCTTGCGAACAGACCAGTGGCCCTTGACCCTTCAGAAAATTTTGGGCACTGGTCGATCCCATTGTCAGAACCTACCAAAAAGAAGCCACTGAACGACTGGGGCGCGCTTGGACAGCGCGAAATGTGCGGGATCGTGCGCGGAATCCTCCGCCTCAGCTTGCGCCCTTTGTGCGATCTTGGCCCCAAAACTACCCAAACCAAAGAGATTCACGCGGATCAACATGCCCCTGATTACTCCCTGATTGCTGCCCCACCACTCACCACCCAGCCCACCGCCGCCACATACGGCCACCATCCCACCACTTCCTGTTTGGCCCAAGCTTCATCTCAAGATCCTCCGTGGGAAGGTCGGTCGACTCTGTGCTGCTATTCGACTTCTTCTCCTTCTCCTTGTCCTCACTGGAACCCTATAACTCCGCCAGAACCTTGTCCAGAAACCACTCCAGGGACCCGGAACCATCGCCCTCCGTTTTTCCCCAGAGGCCCAAGTTCCCCGAAGAGTCGGTGGAGCGGTTCAGCGTTCCGGGAGGCTTGCGGAGGGTTCGCAAGGTGCAAACTCTAAGCCAAACCAGCGGCCAAAATGAGGAGCCCCCTTTCTTCCTCGCCAAAAAAGACGCTTCGCACGCCCCACCTCCCGGCTCCAATTTGGTCACTCACAAGCGCTCAGTCCCTCGGATCTCCCGGCTCGCCTCGTAGCTCTGCTTGCACTTCTCCTCCTCGCGGACACTGCAGTGCTCCTCGTAGCGCGCCTGGCCGGTCTTCAGCAGGTTCTCTTGGAAGCGCAGCTCAAACCAGCCCTCAATCACCTGCCGACTCGGATCATGGATCAAACCCGGCAACGGCGGCGCGGTTGTTCGGAAATAAAGGGGAGGGTGAGGTGGGGGGGAAAGAAGTGAAGAAACTTATCCATTCTCGTTTGGCGTCCTGGCGGAATTCACCATCTGCTATTTGAGGCGAAAAGCTCATGGGCCCTTGGGCCATGGCGCCCAAGGATTTTCGGGTTAAACCGAGTTTGCTAATAAGTTGTTCGACGGGCGTGAGATACTATCTCATAGCTTGTGATTCTCACAAGCCCCGCATCCGT